TCGGGTGAAATGACTGAAGAATGTAAGAGATCAACTTATAAAATATGGTCTATTTGTAAATGTCGTGATAATTAATGTCGCGCTTATCAAACAGCAAGAGACGGAAGAGAAATTGCGTAATGAACCAACGCAACTTAGTCCTTTCGGCATCGGTAAAGCGATTGAGACGGCAGAGAAACAACATTACGACGGGATTTCCCGTGTTTATTCTGCGCGAAATCCATTTTCTATTACAAAATCTTGATGTTCTGTTACCGGTTTTATCGTTATATATCTGTCCGGACTTGGCATTGCTCAATATGTTTTTCACAATGCCTCGCAAATCGCAATATGTCGGCCAAATATGATTACCTGTCTTTACCAAATGCGGCAACTTATTTTGATTTATCGTCGACCTGAATACCACCGGCACTCGACCAAACTTGTGTCAATCTTGGCAAATAGGATTGTCGACTTGAGTTAGAAAAATAAATTAATATTTTCATGAGTGCAAAATAAATGTCACAAAATGCATTGTTTTGCGATATAACTTTGTATTTTCGGAGAAGGCATGTCATATAAGTACGGTATTTTAAGTAATGCGCAAATAATTAATATTTGATCTAAATTTATCGTAAATAATGTTATAACATTTAGGCCGCGAAATGATTTAATGTAAAATGAAGCATGGAATTCGGAATATCGTCAATAAGTCGGCATCAATAATTATTATAAAATGCTAACTAAGTAGTAAAGTCGGATATTGTAAAAATCGGTGAAATAACAAGTCTTCGTCGCGAGGCAAGCGAAAGTATAATCAAACGAGAGAATACGCTTGTAGTTGATTAATAAATTAGCAACCCGGAATTTTTATTCAATACGAAAGTCGTATTAATACGTCAATACGATTTTAAAAAAGTGAACTATCGTTTCTTAAATATATTACCAGTGTTGGTAATGATAAAATTGATCGCATAAAATTTGGTGATAAATTTGATAAAGAAAAATTAAAGCTAATACAAAAGATAAAAATCAGAATAAAATTATTTTGAATTCACTCCTTGATATTTGTCTTTAACACCTGTCTCCGGCGTGTGGTACTGCCGGGAATATGAAAACCAAACTTCGATGTCCCATTCGGAATAGAAGTGGATTAAATTGGTTGGTATGCTAGGTTTAAATGTGTGAAAAAAATATCGCAATTACGGGGTCATCACGTAATCGATTTGGCCATAATTACGGAATTGATTTTTGTCAATTACGTGCAAGCCTACTCACGAGGTACATCATAAAAGACCATTTAAAAGCTTACAATATGTCGGTATCGGCCACTAGCTCACTAACCATTTGTGATGATTGATAAAGTATCTGCATTACAAGATAAACAAATGAGTCAAGTTCTAGCTGACAACATCAATGCTTGACCTATTTATTTGTCGCTGTAAACGTTCGAGTTTGTATTATAGGAATCCTACCACCCATTACACTTGCGAGAAAAGACATATCTCATGCTCTTTTCTTCGTCCTCTCTTCAACCAAAGCATACTCTGAACGAATGCTTTATCATCCTGCCCTTGAGAGAATATTTCGTACGATGTTGAATAGGCCAGTCAAGGATCATGTTCAACATGAGATTTTTACAGCAATATATTTCATATCTGACACGTACATTGATCATACATATTTGTTAGATAAATAATATGATTGCTGCCTGTCCTTGTCGGAGGAAGGGAAGATTGTGACAGAACAGCGCAAATCGTACGCATCATGGCAAGCGTATAGTACTAACGCTTAGCACCATGCGCCAGATAGCCAAGCTCAAAAATTGATGGAGCCTCAATTTATTTCGACTTTTTAGTCAGGGGGGTGTTTATTAGTCAAAAAGTTGTCCAAAGAGGTGCTAGAATAAAGTTTGGGAAACAATAATTTTGAAGTATTATTAGTTGCACGTATTGTGTAATCAGAGCTGAATACATTTGAATACAAACTTGATGATTTAGTTCACGGCTCAGTTAGATACACCACGTGAAATATTTCGACATTTGCTCCAAACGAATAACACCTGTAATGAATGCTTTATCATGTTGCCTTCAGAGAACCTTTCGTTCGATGTTGAATTGGCCGGTCATGGATCCTGATCGATAAGAGGATGGAAGATGTCAATCGTCTAGCATTTTTCTCATGTACATTCCAATACTCTCTCCAAAGAGTTCGCACGATAGTATTATTAAGACGCCTAGGTAAACTGAAGAAACAACCATAGCCATGACAACGCCATTATACCAGCTCAACTCTATAGGAATAGAGGAATTTTTAGTCATGTTTGAAATAAATAAAATTGAAAGCCAAGGTCGTTCAACTATTTATGCATTCTAAGAATGACGTATGAATTCGTTTAAAAATATTTTACATTATTCTGCGTGCATAGAAAATTTTGATAATCATCAACAAATTCTGATTTTTGTTGTATTCAAGATAAACAAGAAATTTTGAATCTAATTGACAAAAACTTGCTCACTGGAAGCATCCAAATCAAGGTCCACAGAACGGAGCTTTGCACGTCGATCTGAACAGTTTTGTTTAATTTGTTAAAATTGCAAAAAAAATTCATATATATATATAGGTTAGCATATTGTATATTTGATTTGCGAATCTCATCGAAATCCAAACCCTTTTTCAATGGTACTTCGATCTGGCGTGACCCAAGTGTCCATACATAGTTTACCTCCTGAACTTTGATTCATCTCTAGGGAGCATAATTTACAAGATTAAATGTATATTGCTGAACAAAGACCATGAATATTTGTGTAGTGCAGATGAACTACGATAGTTACCGGTTCGTATTCTACTGTTAATGGTTTAAAGTAGCGGTTCTCAAAAAGGGCGAAAACGCCCTCTGTGGGCGTTTGCGATAAATATTGGGGCCTTGACTGCGAATTAGGCAATTAGGAGAGGGGAATGGCCGTCAGATTGGGCTTTTTGGGGGCGCTGCCCCGGGATTCGAACCAGTTCAGGGTAATCAGAGAGGAGATGGTAAGCGTAGTCCTAACGCTCATCACGATGCGCCATAATCCCGAGACAAAAGATAGATGGAGTCGAGCCTCCCAATTCATTTCGATTTTTTACTCAGCGGAACGTTTGTTAGTCAAAAAATTGTTCAAGGGGGCGCTGCTAGAATAAAGTTTGGGAAACAATGATTAAAGTCTTATTTGTTGCACGTATTGTGTAGTCAGAACTGAATACTTTTGAAATACAAAATTGATGATTTTTCCCATGGCTCAGTTAAATACACCACATGAAATAGTTTGATACTTGCCCCAAACAAATCACACCTTGAATGAATGCTTAATATGTTGTTCTTCAGAGAATATTTCGTTCGATGTTGAATTGGCCAGTCATGGATCATGATCAATGAAAGATTTTTACAGCATTATATTTAATATCTGACTCATATATGGACCATACATTTTTGATAGATAAATAATATAGCTGCTTGTTCTAGCCGATTAAAAGGAAAATTGCGACAGAACAGCGCAAATCATACGCATCATTCGCAAGCTGTACAAGAATTGCAGACAAAACATATTCATGCATAAACATAATTTCAGATTTTGAAATACACTAGACATGATTCTCGATCTCGTCTTGAAGGAAATTGTTATTGATCAGTTGACGTTTTCCAAACAAAGAAAGGCATGAAAAAAATCCAATTCAGACAGGCCAATGTCGAAGTTATAATTAAAAAGCAAAAAGTTTGAAAACCTTGTATCTTCCACGAAGCTGACCTTTTCTTTAGTGTAAGAGGGTGCAACCATATCATTTTAGGTTTTTATATTTTTTTACACGTTACATCTTATAAGATTGTATATCTCCTAAGTTTCGCGTCTGGGAAATGTCAATCACCTATCATTTTTCTTATGTACATTCCAATGCTTTCTCCAAAGAGTTCGCACGATAGTATTATTAGGGCGCCCAGGTAAACTGAAGAAACAACCATAGCTGTGGCAACGCAATTATACCAACTCAACTTTATAGAAATAGAGGAATTTCAGTCATGTTTGAAATAAATAAATTAGAAGCCAATGTCGTTCAACTATTTATGCATTCTAAGAATGACATATGGATTCGATTGAAAATATTTTACATTATTCTGCGTGCATAGAAAATTAATCATGTTACCCTTCAGAGAACCTTTCGTTCGATGTTGAATTGGCCAGTCATGGATTATGACCAATACGCGAATTTTACAGCGTAATATTTCATTCTGACTCATATCCATGTCATTAGGACAACTTAGCAATAGGTTAGTTGAATAAAAATATATCCAAGTCGTGTAATAGAGTACATTTCTTTTCAGATTAGCAAAAAATGAAAACTCGCATTCGACAAAGCATGCGCAGAGATCTGACTTGAATAAAAAAAGAAATATGCCATTCGTAGGTACCGTGGTATCAGCACCAGGTTAGAGTTGGGTCATAATTTTATTCCGATTTTCCTTATTTTAGTTCTATTACGAGTCCAGGACTGTCTATGTAGGCAAATAAAATTAGTTACCTCCATATTGGCACACATACTTCTGGAGCGCCGATTGTAGTGTTTGTTACTCATATTTGATAACTTCAATTTTGTCAAATTAACCAGATAAACTCACCAGCTAATTCTCTCGTTTATTGCTGATTTCACATTTTATACATTATCGTGGGGACATTAGTGGACAAATTCATGTTTGTTTGGTATTTATGCAGGTTCAACATGACCAGTGTGAATGTATATGTATATAGTTTCATAAAGATTCAGATTTTATTAAAATTATCATAATTGTCTATCTATACCCATTGAATTACTCTAAAATATGAAAAATTCAATGCATTTGGCATTTTTGATGTATAGACATGACAATCATTTATGTAAACAGGAAACGTGTAATGATGATTCTAACGTGACGCTGTTTATAGCGCCATCCATATAACTACAGACCTCTGTAAAAATCTTCAGTTGTGATTTTGCAATCATTCCTAAAATACGAATCAGTCAAAGTAACATAGGCATATGGTGGCCATGTTTATTACAACTTTGGTCGTTGCTTCTATTTTTACTTGTTCCCGGGTATCTTCAGTATCTTATTGTCAACTACCTCAAGTGAGCGAGGAAATTAACATGGGAAATGTGCAAGGTGATTGGTATCTTTCAGTACACCAAAATCAAGAGATGTATAACGTTATACGTTGTGAAGTGTCAACGAATACAAAAACTGAACAAGGTGAGGATTGTATATATATATATATATATTATATATAAGTATTAATTGATGAACGAAAATAGACGCTTATAGTTGTTTGTTATCAAATTCAGCATAGTTTTTCAGTATGATTTTTTTTTGATTGTAACGTGGTACTGCGAAAACTACTAGATAACATATATTGTCTGTAGGAAATTAAAAATATTTTTTTCTAATGGAAGTTTGAATATTTTTATCTATCTTTGTTTTATAAGTAAAACCAAAGTGCATTTTCTTGTTAATAACGAAAGACACTTGTCAAAATTTTATTTTGTTCCATTTGGTACTCCTGAAGTATGTGCTCCAAGATGTCGCACATCCTGAACCCTAACCTGGTACACAACCCGAGTTCAGGTTGTGCGCCATTTTGCTGCGCATACTTCAGGAGTACCAAATGGAGAAAAATAACACAAATTTGACAAGAGTCTTTCGTTAATAATAAGAAAATGCAGATTTGTCCTACTTATAAAACAAAGATAATTAGAAATATTCAAACATTCATTAGAAAAAAATATTTCTAATTTCCTACAGACAATAAATGTTATCTAGTAGTTTTCGCAGTACTACGTTACAATCAAAAAAAAATCATACTTCGAATACATTACTGGCTGCTCACAACAATAAATTTGAGTTCTTGTACATTTTTCGTAAAATAGTCCCAGGGCAAAAATGACCACTGACATGACTGGAGCTAATTTTCTACAAATGATCATATATTTTTTTCAGGTTTCACAGTCTACGTTAAGATTTACAACGTTGAAGATCCAAATAATATTAGAGAAGTTGAGCGTGTATTTCATCGTGTTGCCCCCTCAACTTTCCACGTCGTACATAACAAAGGCGTCAGTGATGAAATTGCTGAAATTAATAAAGAAGATACGAATGAGGGAGCCGATAGAAATATCGTGCTTGAAGACGATTCAGTCATACAAAATCCCTTTCTTTACCTATCAGATTATAAGACATATAATCTGATCCTTCGTTGTAACCTGAACGGCGATAAAGAAATTTTTGTTCAAACCAAAACCCCATCAGCAAATGGTGAAGTGATTCTTAAAGTACGTAACAAGTTGATCGAATTCGGAAACGGTTGGGAAGGCGTTAAAGCTTATCCTAGTCAATGCAATCGAGTTATTGGTAAATAAAAGAAAAATAACTATAGAGAAATTTGAAATATTTGGAACCTAATAAAAATGTTATGCAGAATAATAGGAGTATTAAGAAAGATTTGTTGTCTTTGTAAATAGTGACAATTTCCCTGCCGTTTTATTGTTAGTTTTTTGTTACACATATTCGGAAAATATAATAGAAGTTAACGCTGCTTGTGCATATTTATATTTAAAAAGTAAAACCAGGCAACTCATTGAGTAATTGTAAATCATTTTCAAAGATTTGATTCAAGTCCTAATTTTACGAGACAAGATCGGGTAAATTTGCTGAAATGGTAAAATGTTGGGGAATCTTAGTAGCAAATCAACTCCGGATAATTGAGCAGAATTATCTCAACATAAGGGTAGGAGTGTTAGTCCATCTGAGTCTCGCTCTCTCATTTTTTGTTCAAGTTGCGCTCAAAGTGTACTAAAGTTGACTAGACTCATGTATGTAACTAATATTTAATATAATCTAATATTTTATGTTATACTTCTTGACGAAGCGAGCCTACTAAACGGGTATTTGGAGTTATCTAATGATTTGAATGGATGCTTTGAGAAACGACAGAAATATGAATTATTGTTTTAAATTGTTTTATGGAGTAAAAACTTCAATATGGATGAACTGTCATACCCAGTCATATCCTGTAGGAAGATGCATGGATTGCTAAACATAGGAGCTAGCTTGATTTCACTAAAATTTCAACCATCGCCCATTGATTAGTGAAATCTCATTTTCTACCATCAACGCACAGACATACTAATTTATTAAGTTTTGCAGTTTTCTATTTATCGGCCAAATATTACCGTTCTATTGTACTCCTCTAAAGTTGATGGTAACTTAAATGAGTAAGTACTTAAGCGAAACCAATTTTATTTCTTTCACATGTAAAACACTATGTTTGTGTTGAAAAGGTAAAAAATTATGCAACGAATCCCTCGTCCCTCTAACAAATAGCTCTCGTCCGGTTATCAGTCCATGTCCAGATTTTTTTTAACTAGATGGTCAATAAGAGAAATAACTTAGCCTACTTTGCTCCCACAAAATAATTTGATATCCAAATTAAGTATGTACGAGAAACTCTTTGCTATCCGAGATATCCGTGATTTTGTTCGTGCTCGGTAAAATACAATGAATCAAACGAGAAAAATGTCGTTTTTTTTTGCGTTGCGAGGAAAAGGCCAGAAATCAATCAGTAATTGACGCGCATTAACAGATCAATGTTAAGATCTTATAAAGAAAATGCATACTAAGGTTATCTAGCTTTGTGAAGAGCGCCTCGATTAAGAATAAGCTTTAAATACTTAGCTTTATATACAAAGAAATGAACTGGCTAATCCATCACATCGGAAGAGATTTAGATACAAAGAGTTGTCGATGAAAATAATGAAACAACAGAGATAATGACACAAATTAGAGCAATTAAAGAACAACATGTAACTATTGTCAGCAGTAAAAACGAAGAAAACAAGCTAGCAGATCTAAACAGTCTAAAAATCAGCAGAGAAATATCTCAAATTCTTGGGAATGTTGTAAAAAAATGTTGTCTAAAAATAACATGTAAAACTGATGAAGAGGGAAAATTAAAACATTTCAGAACATCCCTGTTGAATGCAAGAAATGGATACAAAAGTCTACTGGAATAGTGCGCAATATATATCTAGATATCACTACTGATGAACTAAAAAATGAATGGACTAGAAGTGGTGTATCTCAGGTTCGTAGAATAATGAGAAACTCAGAAAATGGGGAAAAATTAGAAACAAAAACAGTTGTAGTCACATTTTATTCCCTAAATAAACCATCACATTTATTTCTTGGTTATGAATAGGGCTGGGAATTTCAGGGAAAACACTTTAACCGTTAACCGGATGAAATTAACCGGTTAACCGCCGCGGGGCGTTTGACGTCATAACCAATAATTTCAGCTTGTTAATTCACAATGCTTATAAAGCAATTTCGCGTGTTTTTATCCTGGTATTTCTCAAAATTATTCACGAATCAAGATAGTTTCATGATTGCTCTGCTGCAATAAATAGACGGTGTGGTTCGGACATGTGGAAGTATTTTAGAAAGCCCGATTCCGTCGTTTAACGTAATTTATGTGACAATATTTCAGTGTTCGATGTGCAAATTCTACTTCGAGATATTATATATATATATATTAAGGAAAGACGGTTTTGCATTGAAATCGTGATCCGATTTTGCATTGAAATCGTGAACCATATATTTCGAAATCGACCGAAAACTGATTCTGAATTCATCATTGTCAAATTCCCCTAATCAGCAATCTTGGTACTTCCATTATTTTTCACATTTATTGAGTCCTTACCCACGCAGTTCGTGATATTCTTTGAATTAAAATGCCACAAGAAATAAATTTGCGATGACGTAATCATATTTCAAGAAATTGTACGGTATAAAGATGATTTGTACCTGATATGTCAGTTAACGGTTAAAATAAATCGTAACCGTTAACCATCTGAAATCGGTTAACCGGTTAACCATTCCCAGCCCTAGTTATGAACGATTCAAGGTGGAACAATACATCATACGATGTTTCAAGTGCTAAAGGTTTGAACATATTGCAAAATTTTGTAAAAATAAATTAAAACGTGCAAATTGCGGATCGGAACATTCTACGGATGAGTGCAGAATACCAAGCAAATGCTATTGATGCTTGGGAAATCATAGTGCTTCTAGCCCCAAATGCCCAGAGTATAAGAAGCAAAAAAACATTCAAATTCTACAAAAGCAAGGAAACATGACCTATGCTGAAGCAGCACGTACAACTCAGGCAAAAAAAATTATACAACCACAAAATCAAAAATATGATCAAAAACAACAAATGAGAACAAAATCAGAGTCAACACAATCAAAACAGGCAATAACAAAAAAATCGATTTCATACTCACCAGAATCCAATTCAACAAACATCAACCATGGACATAGTGAGCTTGATCGAATTCATTACAGATATCCTAAAAAGAATAGTCGCAATGAAAACACCAACTGAATATAATATAACAAAGATAATTGCTGAGGAAGCAAAAACAAGACTCAAAATTAATATGATAACAACTGCTCAACTAGAAGATTTAGTACAAATGAATGAGAAAGACCAAAATGAAACGTCCTGATGGCCCCCACAATTTTATGATGGAATTCTAGAAGCATCAAAAATATAATTGCAGAATTAGTTCATTTTATATACCATACACATCAAATACCAGGTATAATCTGCTTACAAGAAACATGGTTGAATCAAAAAGACGAACTTGACATACCAAGATACCAAATTTATAGGAAAGACAGGCTCAGAAGGAGGGGAGGAGGATGCTTTAATAGCAGTGAAAACTTGCGACAACGCAAATTGAAATTCAGGCAATAGAAATTAATGGATTTTATTTGTTCAATGTATAAAACCCTGGAGTAAATATCAAACAGGAGGTTTTGAATGAAATTCTTAATATACACAGACGATAAGTAATCATATGTGGAGATTTCAATGCTCAAAACAATATTTGGCATTGTTCACAGACAAATTCAAGAGAACAGGTTCTACAGTCATTCATTGAAAGCCATGCATTAGTTATTTTAAATGATGAAATGCCTACAAGAGTGGGAATGAAAGCTCTGTCATTGATTTAAGCATAACAACAAAAGACTTTGCCCACTTATGCATGATGGAGATATTACACGAAAATTTAGCAAGTGATTAATCTGGATGTCATCATTTAGGCACTGGACATAAAACAGCTAAAGTCATAACGGAAGAGTTTGATAGTACGGACTCAGGGTTGCCATATTGGCTTTTTTAACGCCAAATTTGCCATTTTTGACTTTTTTCAAATACGTTTGTCGTCAGAATTTCCGTTTGGCCTTTTTTTGGCTTTTCAAGTCTATTCTAGTGTCTATTATTAAAATCATATGAAATACAATATTTTGTGTGTAACAATAGCCTATTACCGGTACTTAGCTACTTAACATTTGGATTTCCCCGAGCATCGAACACCTTGTTTATTACCCTAACGCTTAATCATACCAAATAAGAAAAAATAATTGCAGTTTCTGCAGCCGCTCAGACAGATTTTCAAGCAGGGTTGTAAACATTGCCTCGTTTTTATAGTTTTGCGTGTTATTTGTTAGTTTTTAGTTTTGTTTCCATAAAATGGTTGTATAACTTAATTTTCATTATAAATAAAAAAATATTCCAATAGTAAAGTACGATATAGGGAGAATTTTTCAAGGTATATCACAAGTTTAAGTAGAAACATGTGGGTATATGACATACTGAAGCGGCGCCTTGTATTGTATTTATTAAATGGTAAAATAATACTGTAAGCTTGATATATATTTCTTTTTATTTGGTTTTTTGATTTTTTTTAAACTGTTCCATATAGATGTCAGCTTGACTGTATTGTGTCGAATGTAGATTCTGGTGCTGCCATTCAATTAATCCTTTTCACTTTTAAACCCTTTATCCCGCCGAAGTGGAAATTGCCATGATAGCAACCGAAAATACAACTTTCATTGGGAAAAGACGTTTGTGTGGCTCACTAAATGTACTGGTGGATCTACATCAGCATCAGTATTGTGCCAAATGCTCAAAATCTGACAAATCATGGGGCTTTTGTACTTTTTTGTACTAGCTTTTTTATGTCTCGATTTGGCTTTCTTTGATCGCATGGATCTGGCAACCTTGAGTACGGTACCTGATTGAGAACTTCGCACGTTCCGTAATTTGACAGTAGGCCTATGATTTAGCGAGGTTTGATAGTAAAATACAGGCAAACAAACAGCAAAGTATTATCCAGTTCCTTCAAAAGAAACCAAGCAGTGAAAATCAAGTTATTGGTGTTGGCAGGACAGAGGAAGAGACTGCTACTTCAACTTAACGACATGTATCAGTTGTTGCACGCATTATGTAACTAGTTTTTGCTTAAATAATTAATTAGCTGTATACTTTTCAAATACAAAAATGCCGATTTACACCATGGCTCAGTTAAATACACGCCATGAAATATTTTGACACTAACCCCAAACAAATCATACCTTGAATGAATGCTTATCAATAAGAGATTATTCAGCATATTAGTTAAAAATAATATAGCTGCCTGTTCTGGCCGATTAAAGGGAAGATTGAGACAGAACAGCGCATATCATACG